TCTCTCTCTCTCTCTCTCTCTCTCTCTCTGTCGTCCCCTGTCTCTCGCTCTCTCGTTCTCGCTTTAACTCTCGTTTGCTCGTTCTCGATCTAACTCTCGTTCTCTCTCTCTCTCTCTCTCTCTCTCTCTCGGTCTCGGTCTCGCTTCATGTGTAGGCGCGCGGACATTTACGTGCAACTCGCGGCGCGGGAAGACCTTTTAATTGGGTTGCTCCGCCGACAGCGGTCGGGCTGCAGCTGGGGCGCCGGACACGGCATCGCCCCCACCCCCTGCCGGCAATCGCTCCGTTCGCCCCTTGCCACTCGGCGGCCGGGCGGTTGCGCGTCCATGAACACGGCCCTGGTGTTTTGCCGCCGGCCGGATGCCGGTGGGCCTGGCGCCCGGCGTCCGGGCGTCGACCGGGGCCGCAGCGCGGCCAACCCCCCCTCGCCGAATCTCCGCCGCCGGCCGGTCCTGCACCTATATGGGGGTGGTGCCCTCTGTGCGTGCGTTGGCGCGGCACTGGCCGCAGCCTGGCTCCCACACGAATGGGCTCGCGCTCTGGAGCACCCTGCTGGCCACTCTGCGGAGCCCTGGCGCGGAGCATCATCCGCCTCGCCCGGTGCGTACCTCCCTGTGTGCTGTGCGTGTCATATGCACGCACGCCCACCATTGGGCATGCGTCCACAAAATCGCACGTCGGCGGCTCGGATGCTGCATCTGTCGCGCTGCCTCGCTGTCGGCCCCGTGCTCTCATGCTTGTTGTCGCTCGAGCTGCCGCGCGCCCTCTTCCCGCTGTTCCCGGCCCCTCTCGTCATCCCTGCCCCCGCTGTCCCCCCGCGTGGGCGCGAACGATCGAGGCGGGCGCTGTGACACGGCCCAGATGAGAGGCTCTTTCTATTATCCTTTCATTGCGCCCCTGCGCGCTCGGGGCAGATGGGTGTTTGGGCTTGTGGGGCGCGCTGCGTGCATGCGCTCGCCGCTATGCCGGGCTCCTGCGGATAAAGATGATGTTTGCACAGGGCACACCCACATCCACACTCACTCACGCGCGCGCGCGCGCGCGCGCGCACATACATACACACACACACACACACACCGAGGGCAAGCGTGCTCTTCTCAGCGGTGGCAGCATCAGGGCAGGGGGCAGCTCGTGAAGGCTCTTTCTCCCCTCGCCGTGCCCCGTACATGGGGTGTTCGGATGGCTGTGCGGGGCCGGGTCCTCTTTGGGCCTGTTCTAGCGGGTACCACACGTTCGCGCTCCTTCTCTATGGGGCGTAAAAGTGTGCGGACGCGCGCGCGTGGCCCCGCTCGAGAATCTCGCCTCGCGTTCTCTCTCTCTCTCTCTCTCTTGCTCGGCCTCCCTCCCGACCCTTCTCTCGTCCGGTGGTCTTTCCCCCGGCGGGCCGTTCTCCCCCGGCACGGGCGTCTCTATCGGCGCGTCGCCGCCCCCGCCGGGGGGGGGGGGGGGGGCACACATGCCTTGGGAACGAGCGGCTACACGGACGCGCGCTCGGATATGCGCGCGCGCGCGCGCGCGGCCGATGCACGACACGTCGCCCGGAGGCCTCACATGTTGTCCACCTCCGAGGTGAGGGTGCCGTCCTCGGGGTGGTAGCCGCCCGGGCCGCCGACGGAGGGGCCCCCCCCACCGGCGGCGCCAGGCCCCCCGATGGGCTCAAGGAAGTCCATGCCATCGACCAGCATGATGGCACTGCCGTTGCCATGGATCATGGACTGCATGTCGTCGTAGGCGCCGGGGCCGGGGCCGGGGCCCGGGCCATATGCGTCCGCGACCACACGGTCATGGTGGTGGTGGTGCTGGTGGTGGTGGTGCCCCCCATGGTGGCCGTGCTGATGCCCGTCGTGGTGGTGGTGGCCGTGATGATGCCCGTCGTGGTGGTGGTGGTGCTGCTGCTGGTGGTGGTGGTGGTGGTGGTGCCCCCCCCCTCCATGGTGGTGGTGGTGGTGCTGCTGCTGATGGTGGTGCCCACCGAGCAGCAGCATGTCCGAGTCGTCGCCCGGGAGCAGGCGCCCGTCGGGGTGCCCGCCATCGCCGCCGATGGGCCCGCCGGAGGGGCCGCCGGGGCCGGGGCCGGCCGGGCCCATCAGCGGCGACCCGCCGACCGGGTCCCCGCCGAACACCGACCCTGGGAAGAAGGCCGACCCGCCGGGGCCGGGGCCGGCACTTGGCCCGGCCGAGCCGGTCGGCGAGGCCAGTGGGCTCATGCCATGGTGGCCGGCGCCCACGCCGGGGCCGCCATGGTGCGCGCCCAGCAGCGGGCTGGCATCCCGGTACAGGCTGGGAAGCTGTCCGCGTGCATGGCCCCCGCCACCACCGCGCAGGCACGCATGCACGCACGCGCCGGTGTCATTTTGGCGCACATGCGCACCGGATCCGGCACAGAGGGGGTGCGAGGGGGTCGGGTGTGTTAGGGCTTCGTGTGGGCGTGCACATGCGCGCACGGTGGCGGCCTGTGGCGGCCGGCGCGTACCTGGTCGACCTTGCGCGCGTGGACGGAGGACCCGCCCGCATGGTGGTGGTGGTGGTGGTGGTGGTGGAGGGTGGTGTTGCGCGCGCGCTCGACACCGGCCCCGAGGCCCGTCGGCATGCCGGGCCCGGGCGAGGGGGACGACGACCCGGCGCCCGGGGCCACAGCGCCATAGGCGTGGTGGTGCGGGGCGCCGGAGCCGGCCGATGCCGGCGCCGCGCCGCTCGACATGTAGTGGGCTGCCGGCTGTGGGGGGGTGGACTGGAGGTAGGCGGCCTTGGGGCCGGTGGCGGTGGTGGTGGTGGTGGTGGTGGTGGTGGTGGCGGCGGCGGCGGCGGCGGCGGCGGCGGTGGCGGTGGCTGCCTCGGTGGCCGGGGCCGGGGAGGCATTGGACACGACGCCCACCATGTCGGCCATGTCCGGCGACCCTGGGGCCGGGGGGTGCTGCTGGCCGGCGTCAAGGGCGGCCGGTGGCCCGGGGTACTTGTCGACCGTACCGCCGGCAGCACTCGGCTGCTTCCCGTCGTCCGGCTGGTGGTGGTAGTGGGCCGGGCCGTCCGGGCCGGCGGCATGGTAGTGGACCGAGGCATGGCTGCCAGTGGCCGAGGGGCTGAAGGCGTGGCCGGAGGCTGCCCCCCCGCCGGCGGATGTGGCGCCGGCGGCGGTGGTGGTGGGGGTGTTGCTGGACGAGTAGGGCGAGTCCGCGTCGTAGCTGGTGCCTGGCGCCGGGAGGCCGGCGGCGCCGCGGCCCCCATGCGACGGCTGCTGCTGTTGGTGTTGCTGCTGCTGCTGCTGCTGCTGCTGCTGCGGGTAGTGGTGGTGGCCGGGGCCGGTGCCGGCTGCGGCCCCGCGAGCCTGCTGCTCGTCCGCCGGTCGAGCATGCGCCGAGAAGAAGGACGGCGAGGCGGGCGGCTGCGCCGAGGGGGGCCCATGCCAGGGCTGCTCCTGGGGCTGGTAGCCCGGGCCGTCGGTCGACTCGTGCTGCTGCTGCTGCTGCTGCTGCTGCTGGTGGTGGTAGGGGGTGCCCGGGTGGGGCCGCGAGGTGGGCGACGGGGCCGGGCCCAGGTCCCGGTGCGTGCCGGGCCCGGGGGGGTGGTGGTAGTGTGGCTGGGGCTGCTGGTAGGGCGACGACTGGGGGTGGTATGGCTGGGGGTAGGGGTAGTGGTGATGGGGGCCGGGGCGCGATGCGCCGCCTGGTGACGGGGCGCGCGGGTCGTCGGCCGGGTGCCGGCCGGCGTCCGAAGAGCCTGGCGTGTCGCCGCGCTGGGCGGCCCCCCCCGGCAAGTGCCCGCCGCCGGAGGGGCCGCCGGGCCCGGTGGCGCGGTGGGCATTGCTGGCGTCGGAGGGGGCCGGCGACGGGGAGGAGGAGTAGTAGTAGTCAATGGGCACGGCGGTGGTGCTTGAGGACACGCGCTCCGGCCGGCCGATGACCGTGAGCTTGGCATCGGTCGGGGTGGCCGGGGGCGCCGGCGAGCCGGGGCGCCCGGTGGCCGGGTCCACCAACTCGTCCATCGAGTTGGAGTGCGTGAGCTTGCTGCCGCGAGCGGTGTAATCTGCTGTCCCCCCCCCCGGGTACGGGAACCACGCGGATGGTCGTCGTGTGTCAGTCTCGCGTGTCTGCACATGGGCGGGTGGGGAATCCGGGTTCCCTCGATCGCCCGATCTCATGCGCATAAAAACACATGCATGTGTGTGTGTGTGTGTGTGCGGCGTTTGGGTGCAGACATGATTGGCTGCCAGGAGGGAAGGAGGCGTACCGCGGAGGAGTGGGGTCTTGCCGCCGGCGGGCTCGGCTGAGCCGAGGCCGCCCTGCTTCGGCGAGGCATACACCTTCGACATGGCGCTCAGGTCGTCGGAGGAGCTGGGCGCAGGGGCAGTGGGCCCGCCGGCGGCCACGGCCGCGGCCGCGGCCGAAAAGAGCTCCTGGTTGGCCAGGAAGGGGGAGATCGGTCCGCTGGCGGCGGCCACCACCGGCGAGTCGCTGCTGTTCGATCGGGAGGGGTTCCAGTTGAGTGCCGCCATGGCGGGGGTGAGGCTGCTCCGGGGGCGAAGGAGGTGGGCCGCCTGCTGGGCCCCCCCGGTGGGCTGCGACACGGGCGTGCCGGGGTCCGCCAGCTGGGTGTCTTCTGTCGGGGGGGGG